TCTCTGAAATATCATAATTACAATATAGTAACAGGCTCAGTGGAGACTCAGCATCGACACATACCTCACACTGAGCTCTTTTCTGTGCTTTTCACCAGAGCACGAGAAGCAAAGTTCAAACTATAACATCATTACGAATTAAATCTGACATGAAATGTTCAAAAAGTCAGCCTGACAGAGCAATTTAATGTAAATCAATATACCGCATTGCCACAATACACAATAGATTATAGAAATTTGATTAGATAAAAACACTGGAAGAGAAGAGAAGTATTTTTATTTTGTATAGACCTTAACTTTTTTGTGTTTTGTGTGTGTTTGTTTGTATGTGTGTGTGTGTGTGTGTGTGTGTGTGTGTGTGTGTGTGTGTGTGTGTGTGTGTGTGTGTGTGTGTGTGTGAACGTGTGTGTGAGAACGTGTGTGTGTGTGTGTGTGTGTGTGTGTGTGTGTGTGTGGGTGGGTGTATGTTTGTTTGTGTGTATGCAGATGCAGTCAGCACTCACTTAGAGATTAAGTCTACTTTGTGACTATATAGATAATACGCCTATGAAGGTCACACGTGTAGGTGTATAAACGCTTTGTGTGTGTGTGTGTGTGTGTGTGTGTGTGTGTGTGTGTGTGTATGTGTGTCCACAGGAGAGGGAGGACACAAAAGTGGTGTGACAGGATGGGGAGGAGGGTGTCTCCCTGGGTGAATCAATCCCACAGAGACCCAATCTGTTCACTTCAGGGAGAAGAGAAGCTAACAGAGGAAGGGGGAGACACCACGATCGAAATGACTACATAACTGAAATTTCTAAGATAAATATAAATCCTTAACCTACAGTCTATATCTCCACATATCTGCTTTTTAGAAAAAAGTACTAGAGTAGGTGGGCTGACATGAATAAATAGAAGTGTTTTTCACATACAACACAATGCAGGATCAATTCAGCACACAGATGTGAACAAATAGTGACCAGGGCGTTATATAATATTTTTACTGTCAACCTCCCTCGCTGTCTCTCTCTCCCTCTCTATCATCCTCTTATCGGAGGATTACGCAGAACGCTCTGTGAATTTAATATACAGGCAGGGTAACAAAAGTCCCGGGTCACCAACCGGCACAGGAGACTCACGGTGGTATTCTGTCCCAGCTGATATTTTATCTCAAAATCACAAATCAGGCAAAAATCATGATTCTTTTTTTTTGGTGAAAAGTGACCTCCTGGAAGATTATCACTGCTTTAACATCTTAATAAGAACATAATAATGATGGTCCATCACACTAATAGAAATAGTATTTAACGACTTTAAACATCACTGAATTTTGCCCATGGCTGGTTTGAAAATGTGGGCTGCACATTAAAGCTAAAAAGCTGCATTTAGTTGATTATTCAATCCACAACTGTGTCGATCAAATGTTTGTTCTATTTGCATGCAAGAAACGCAAAGAAAATGGGTGATTAATATTATTAAAATAATGTATTGTATTTGAGAGAAAATATATTTAAATGTTAACTGAATATGGTAGGATGCATACAAATATTACCTATGGCTGTGGGATGTTTTCTTGACAAAACTAATTATTACGTATTATTTAGGTTACCTCAAGGCATGGAGGCAGTGTAAATGTGACCAATTGAAGCATTACTGACATCATGGATACAACCAGTATCGCTGCCAATAACTGTGCATGCTGAGCGGCTACAGCTGACTTTCCAAACTGCTCAGCTTGGGCAGACACATCATCTACGGGGACCCTATAATAAACCTGTGTGTGTGTAACCACTCCCACACACACACGATACAGGTAGAGAAAGGGACATAATATACACACTGATAGACAAAAGTTTGAGTCGGAGACAAGCAGAACTGTCTCAAATGTAATGTCAATGTACATTTTTGTGTTTTTTCAAATTCTTTAAGAATCCCAAAACATCCTAGGATTCAAAGAGTAACGTTTATTTGCCTTCACTACAAAAGCTGCTTGGAAAGTAAATATCTTGATGCTTAGAAACTAGTCCATTAGCTTTATCATTGTCACTGCCATTGTCATAATGTCAATGATTATACTGTCATCGTCACAACCCCTAGACTGATGAAGTATGGCAGCAATATGTGACCATTATTCCCTAAGTACCGCATTGGGTGGCACTGTACAACATTAATAGATTTACCTTTGGCTATTAAATCCACTAAAGCGGAATTATAAAATGGCCATGGTGGCTTAACTACAATATTACATGTCACACTTTTCCAAAAAATGCGCCATTTGTCAGGACCCCCTCTGTCTGAGAGCGTGCACAGAGAAGTAGCAATGCTGCTCTGGGCTTACTAAAAAATTAATGTCAAGAACATAGTGTACAATCTTTTTTAAATTGATAATAATGCTATAAATAAAATAATGGCAAAGAAATCTGCAGTTCTTGCAGTTAGCCCAAGACTTAATAATCAGAAAATGTAATAAAATACACATAAGATCAATTAATTGAATATTTAACACCACCTTTTAGACGTCTGAGTGGTAACTGAAAATGTTGCACTGCATGAAGCATTCCAGCGCATGTAAAATGGATTAAAAATAGATTACATGTTATATTCTGTATTGCCTTGTGCTTAGTGAAACACAAGC